AAGTAAATAGACATATCGAACATGATATGATTTTTTTCCTCAACCTACATACGAATCTTTCAAAAACAAAACTGGAAATGAAAACGCTAGTAAAAGAATTGGGACTGGGGAGTTTCTGGTTACCTGCTTAGCTATCCAGGGAATCCAGGCATACATCTGGTGAAACAATCGATGAGTCATGTCAGTCCAGGGACAGAAACAAAATGCATTGGTGAGCATGCTAAGTGCCACTATTGAAATTTCAGTCCGTAGACTAGGTCCAGCAGGTGGAGGCTTTAAAGATTCTACAGTTGAAATAAGCATCTCACGCAGACTAGCAGCATCTTTTTCATCAGTCTCATCGGCAAATTCAGGAGCAAAGTAAACTCCTCGTGGAATATCATCACCAACCTTCTGGCGCTTCCTTTTGTAAGTACTTTCATCCTTAATATGCCTTTTTTTTCCAGCGTTAATTCCCTGGACAGGTCTATCACTTGCTGCTGATGTATAACTACCACATTTGGTTGTCTCACCTCGAACATACCCAGGTCCAAGAACCATAAGAACTGCTTTAAAACATTCTATCAATTGAAAACAAGGTTCTGAAAGATGAAGCAACTCTAGAAGACAGTGTAACTTCCACATACAAGGAGGACAAGATTTCACAATCCGCACATACGCACTGCACAAGGAAGCCTACATACATAAATTCCCGATATGATTTCCCATAATGTTGTTGAAAGAGCAGCAGCGGAAAGGAAATAAAAAGAACTGATCAGACATTCATTGGAGTGTAACATTTGTATGAGTAGAAACAGATCCAAATATACCTTAAGCTCTTCACTTTTTGTTCTCTGTAAAGCACGAGAGAAAACCAACACTAAACTTTCTGCAGTTAGTTTGACAGCGACATCAGAACAGCTGGAATATACCGCGGTAAGGAAACGTCCAATGGTAGAATCATAAATCGTATTCCTGTTGAACAAACCCAGAAATTAAGTTCAAAGTGAAGGTAGATCTATATTCTGATACCTTCATATGAGAAGATTCACTAACCAGTGGAAAAAATAGCAACTTAACACATATTTTTTTCCACACTTAATGTGGGGAAGGTAAACAGAGAAAGACCCAGTAAAACTTAATTAATAATATTCACAATCATGTCAAAATAAAACAAAAGAGCTGTGCTTTGACATGTGGGAACACACCTGTACACAGGAAGTCCTTCTTCATCTGCACTTAAAAGGAGGATGATTGACTGTATTAGGCCCACATGCGGGAGGATGTTGAAAGTAAGGATTGATCCGACAAGAGTAGCAAATTCAAAGCATGCCTTCCATATAAAAATCAGATGTCAGATCAATGTCCCAAAATTCATCACATCTTCAAAGAAAATTAAATGCAGCAGTGACAGTACTAACCGATCAGATAAACCAAAATCAGAAGCTGTTGAATAAAAAGTAACTCACCATCTGCACATCTGCGCCACCACAGCATACTAGAGAACAAGCCGCCTGAACAAATGATGTATGGATGAGACCCTGGACGTAGAGTGTCCCATCAGTTAAGCAATTACAGATGAGTTTAAGGATACAAGTAGCAAAAGGTTGCCATCGGTTGGCTCCCAATAAGTTCAACACAAGACCATCCCCATCTCTGGGCTTATTAGCATCTGGCAGATCACAGAGATGACAAGAATCACCCCAGATTCCAGAAAAGGACATACAGAAACACCTAAATAGAGTGTGAGATTCAGCAATTTCCGGTTCATTTGAGTGAAGTGATGCAATACGTTGCAAATCTGGACACATAGAAAGTTCAGTATAAGTTGAAGAATTTTGGAACCATAATTAACATTCAGGGAGCCAGTTTTTGAAACAACCTTGAATGGCCTGCAAAGCGTCATGGAAGAACATCCGGTATGCCTTCCGTGAGTTGGAACGGAGCAACATTAAGAGAGAGGCAACAGTTTCAAGTAATACTCCATGCCCAGGACTGCGTGAAATGATTTACAAAAGAAAGCAGCATTAGAGCAAAAACTGTTGAAGAGTGACACCTACCTAATCTGGTTCTGCAACACTTACACAAATTCTGGTTGTGCAAAGAAGGGAATAATACGAGCAATGACAGGGAGGATAGCACTAGGGTTTCCGTGATAGAAGACTCCTGGAATGTTCCTTGCTGTGTGACCAACAAGCTTCAGAACAGCTGTAACTTCCCTCCCGTTGCCTGACAAAATTGGAGAGAAAATCGAAAAACCAATCAACCCTAGGTTCAATTCCAGCAAAATCCAACAAGAGAGACAGTAATTACCGAGAGAAGGTACAACGAAGGTATTCAAAAGATTAGGGATGACATCCCGAAATCGAATCTCTAGAGCATCTTCTTCGTCTCCGGAAGAGTGACGGAGGTTGTTAGCCGGAGTGGAGGCGGATGCGGCCACCCGTTCACGGAGTTCGTGAACCAAGCTCAACAGATTATTGTCCTTGGCCATTGCACAATCGCCCAAGCTACTACGCTCGCTAGTCGCTCCAGTCCCTCCCTCCCAATTTTTTTAAAGAAAATAAAAAATGTTAAAAACATATATGTGTAAGGAAAATTAATCTAATACTCCCTCCGTTTCATAATATAAGGCGTTTTGGAAAAAGTTTTTTTGTTTCACAATATAAGTCGTTTTCGAGTTTCGATGCAAATTATATATTATTTTAATATATTATGATTATTTATATTATACAGTATCTTTTATGATTGGTTGAACTTTTTAAAAGTAGATCTTCTTAATCAACGTGCTTTGACCTAAAACGACTTATATTATGAAACGGAGGGAGTATCAATTAATATAGTTTAGGCATATATACTTATCATTAACCATGTAAATTAAAAATCTTTCGTTAATTGTTGATTTCTCTAAGTTTTGTTTAGGGCTAGGCGTTCGGTTTTTCGGTTTGGTTTCGGTTCGGTTTTTTCGGTATTACGGTTTTTCGGTTTTAAAAAAAGTGAAACCATATAAAAACCATATGAAATTCGGTTTTCTTACGGTTCGGTTTTAACGGTTTTACAGTTTTTTGATTTTAGAAAAATTAAAACCATTTAAAAACCATATGTATTTTGGTTCGGATCGGTTCCGGTTTGGTTCCGGTTTTTTCATGTTTTTACCAAAAAAAATATAAGTTTGATGCATAAATAAAATCAAAATCTAGTTTGTAAACCCAAATCCTAAATTTAAATTCAAACTTGTAAAAATTAGAAAGCTAATAAGCTATAGAAAACAAAATTCAGAAATAATTTGTATCATCGTCATCACTCAGTGATATCACTCATTAGCCACGATTGGCCTCTTCAAGCTGCCTATTAATCTCTGATAGACAAAACAAAATAAAAGAACATGAGATCCAGTGATATATATATATATATATATATTTATATATAAGATGTAAAATATTTTTCAATGTAGTTGAAAGTTTAAACCCATAAGAGAATCATGAATATTGAATACATACCTTCGTGTAAAGACTCCATATATTCAGGTTCTTCTAGCATTTTCCCAATGTCAACACATGCATCAGAATAATAAGATGATGTTTTAAGCCAATTCTGCAATAAAAGGAGTTAGTGAATGAACTCCTATATGGGTCTAAGATGCGATCTCCGGTGCTAAAAACAGATTTCGATGAAACATTCGAAACAGGAAATGCAAGCACATCCCTGGCCAATTCTGCTAATATTGGGACATGTGATTTATATAGAATTTAAGAACAAAGAGTCAATGACGGCATGTGATTTATATAGAATTTTAGTTTAGGTTAGGGTTAGGGTTTTGTTTTTCGATAGTTCGATAGATATGATATTATCAAATGGACATTATATATATATATATACAATTATTTTTAACTTTAATAAAAAAACCAAAAAAACCGTTCGGTTTTACGGTTTTTAACCAAACCAAACCTAAACCGAAACTTAAATAAAAATTACAACCAAATGGGTTTTTATACAAAACCATAACCAAACCAAACCATTTATTTCGGTTAGGTACGGTTCGGTTTGTTTAGCAGTTCACGTTAAGCTACTCTAAGAATAATAAAGATTTTGTACCTTTACTAGTATATGACCCGCGGTACACCGCGGGTTAATTATTTGATATATTTATTTTTTTTTTCTTTTTTTATAAACTGATGATATTGTTGTGTATAATATTTTTTGTTGTACACCGCGAGTCATATGTGTTGTAACTAAAAAATGGAAATTTTAAGTTGTATTTGCTTTGATTAGTGTATAAGATTGTATAATTGTATTTTAATTTTTTAATTCTAGGATTTCACTCGTGGTATACTGTTCTATATTAATATTCGATCCAAATCCGTTCCACCATATAATCCTATCTCGTGAAATTACATCATTTTGTTATTTTTATTTTTAATAATACTTTTATTTAAAAGACATATAATTCGAGTCAATTAAAAAGTTTGCTTTCAGATGGTATAAACATCACCTCTAGGATTTAACCCGCTATACACCGTGGGATTATTTTTTTATTAATTATGTTATTTTAATATTTATGGTTTTGTATATATTATAGGATATGGATTGAGTTTCTTTGATATTTATTAAGATTGTCGCAGTTAAATATATTTGGAATATTTTTAATAAAGAATATTATAGTTTGTTGGATGTATAAGTACATTATTTGTTATTATGTCTAATTAAATGTATAAAGTTAGAAATATAAAATCTGAAAACTCTGGCTAGTGACTACTACATAATTTTGGAAATAAGATTAAGTAGAGAAATGATGATTTGCCTTAAACAAACAGATTTTTTTATTTTGTATTTATTGTGTTTTATAATGGGTTCCACGGATCACAACATCTCACGCTTTAGAGACCTCGAAACTTTGCATAGTATTACAATTGTTTTTTTGGGCCCAAAACGTATCTTAGAATAAAATCCAACCAATGTAAGAAGCCCATATTAGTAATAAAAGCCCATGATGAAATGATGGAGAACGTCATTGGCGAGAAAACCAAAGTTGCGTTATCGAACTTGCTAATGTCTGATTCTGTTGATGAAAAGCTGAGATCTTATTCTTCACTGTTACCAAATTGATGTGAATGACCGAGTCCGATGAGGAATGAATATTATGATGGTATTTATTGTTTTTTTCTCTTTAGAAAAGATAAATTAAGAGTAGATTATTCCAAGAGAAAGTAGTTCGGTTGACGCAAAATTGCTGAGGAAAGAGGTCCCCAAGATAGATTGAGAGTTGCAAGCAAAGAAGATATGGTTTCTGGATTACGGACATTGATTGCAGAGAAGACACGAAGGGTCTACAGGTAATCTCCAAGAGAGAAGATGATCCCTAGTCGAGCATCGATTGAGAACAAATAGCCACGTTAGAGTTCAATGCTTAGGTATTGTTCTTTTGATCCAGACTAATTTATCTCATCCCACATAGGCCCAAAAGGCCAAAAGGAGTCCAAGGATCTTTCCAGAATCGAATAGAATGACTATTGTCATGTATGATTATAAACCATTTTGATATAGTCTCCAACAACTTTATTAGGTTTTTGAATGTCCACGTTTGACTCTGAGATGACTTAATATTCCAAAAGTTTTTGTCTTTGATTAAATTTTGATGAATCCAAGCTGACCAAACTGGCTCTGTTTTGAACAGAAACATCAGCAAAAGCTTGAGGGAACATGTTTGATTCCAATCCAGTAGATTCTCACTACCAAGCCTCATTCCTTTTTTGGAGAGGTAAGGACTCCCCAAGCTATTTTACTCTCCTTATGAAATTACATCGTAAATCAAAATTTTTAATAATGAATTTGAAAATCCATAGAATAACATAGATTCAATAATAGACATAAAGATGATACTTGGGTAGGTATACTAAACTCAAAATCAGTTTCTTTCTCAACATTGCCTTTGTGATGACTTACCTACATAGGAAAAATGAAACATGTTTTAAGTACGATATGTACATAATTTCAAAAGGCAAGAAACAAAGCTAAAGTAAATGTACCTTTAAAGAATAAGTTGTGTTCAATAATTCTCTCAGTTCATCCAAATTCTGAAACCTTTTTGAACACCACATCAATTCTTTATCTTTCAATCTTGTTTTCTTTGTTGACAATAAGAATTTTCAATACTTTTTTTGAAATCCGGCACACAAAACAAAATAAACTCCTTCTCTGATTTCTAATAAAAATACTATAGTTTCTTTTTCGGATTTGGTGCTTTTAGTTGCTGTGAATGAAAGGTATTTATAGTGATTTAAGAAGATAATAGGGATATGTGTGAGGTAGTAGTAAAAATCTTGTTGAGCAAGTATACAATCTTAAAAAAAATATCACAATTACGGAAAAATGTAAAGGAATTAGAGTTTAGGTAAGGAATATGCCAAGTATAGGTGTATAATTAGTTTCTATATGATATATTATCTCGATTTTCTTTTTAACTTATATATAAAATGAATATTTGATTTTGATTTTATGGTTTATTGTTAGCATTTAATCGTCATTATTACTCTCCTCATCACGAAAAATCTTACCTTGAATATAGGGAGTATTAATTAGGAGAAACTAAATGCTTTTTACCTTGAATGTAAGGAGTGTCAATTAAGGAAGTTACGACTGAGAAAATTTGGGTCAAAATCACAAATAAGGTATGATCCGAGAGACTTAATTCCGGGTCAAAATCAACAAAATTCCGGGTCAAAAATCATAAATTACCCGACCCGATTAGGGACCCCAAAAAGTGTTGCAAAAATGTATAGTAGAAGTTTTGTTTAGCAGTTTCGTTAAGTTCTTGTTCGTTCCTATATTGTGCTCATGAGAGGAAACTTGCTTTAGTCCCGTTTCCATTAGTTATCGGTATGGTTGTCGCAGTCGTTCTTCAAGAACCCGATCTCTCCTCGTCTTAAGGTAGTAGAAAAGAAAGATCCTCATGTTGTAGGATTGATAATTTGATTGTCTCATATTGTAGGATTGTACCGTTTGGCTAATTTGTTTCAAGCACATTTATGTAATTGCAGCTTATGGGAGATCATTCCCTGATGTTGTCAAAGGTGTCGACCATACTTTACAAAGTCTGCATTCACACAGAAAGCAAAATTTCAAATATAAGAGATCGCTTGAGAATCAGGTTTAAATGATGTTGGCACAAACATACAGCACAACTGTCTATCATACATGATCAGACAAAACCCCAAAATACAAATTCACACTTATAAAAAAATTTATAACGTAAGAAAATATCAAAATCTTGATTTAAAAGCAACAAAAATCAATCAAATCCTGGCAGGCTTCTGCAGAACAGCCGAGAGATAAACCTCTACATCAGTTTTCTCTCCAACAACCCATTTTAACTTCTTATACCCAAACCGCTCTATCAAACGTGTAAGAACTCTCTTCTTCTCATCATTACCGCAATGGAAATTGTCTAACCAGAACAATCCACCGGGTTTCAAGATCCGATCAAGATCAAACATCAAGAACTCCAGCTTCTCGGGTTTATTACTAGCCGCTAAATCCAATCCGTTGGAACCGTGAATGAGATCGAAAACATTGTCGTAGAACGGTAATCTCTGATCCAAACTAATGAACAACGGAAAAACCCCTCGCGCAGCTATGAATTCACTGAAAGGAGCATCTATATTCAATGTGTTACTGATTATATTCACATTCTTTTCAGCCATTCTAGCAGCAAATGTACCTGATCCACTGCTAATATCAAACCCGATTCGGATTTTCCCATCGCTTAAACCCAAAACATCATCTATCAAGAAATCAGTCTTCCCTTTAACCTTAACAAACCTGTCTTTCTCATGACTAGTAGCTAGATCAAAGCAACCAACACAATTCCGGCTCAGTTTCTTAGCTTTCAAGCATTCGAAACTTTTGCAGCCAAGACCGCTCCAGTTAACACTACTGTTACTAACTGGTCTCCACAAAGAATCAGGAAACCAAGCGAGACCCGTCTTCTGTACTGTTTTAGCCAAACAACGACGGCGTGGCAACGGTTCACAAGCACGGAGAATCAACTTCTGTGCTAGGCTCCAATCATCCGGACACTTTTCAAACACATTGTACGACATATACTGAGATAACAAATCTAGAGACATTTCACAGGAATGTCCAACAGATGCAACCATATGTGTGATACCAGTACGAGAATCTTTACCAAGAGGAAGCTGATGTTGTTGGAGGAAAAGTTTAAGCTCTTGTGGAACTTCTTGATGTGAAAGATCGAGAGATTCAAAACCAATCATTTGTTTCTCCATTAGAGAGAGTGTACGGTGGGACGAATCGATTTCTCTGAGGATGAGTGATAGATGTTGAGAAACCAAAGAGACATTGTTGGAATGAAGAGGATGTGGCGTGTGGGATTGGGACCGAGACGAGAAGGCGTATAATGCAAAGAGATTTGTAGTGACTATAGAGAAAAGCATAAGGAGGTTGATGGCGGAAGAAAAAAGCGTTGATCGCTTGAATCTTGCGCTTCCATCGCCAATCTTTAGCGATACGGATCCCATACTTCAATGTAGCTTATACTGCATCAATTCACAATTGTGTCATATTGTTGAACTTATTATTGGATCTGAAAATACAAATGTTATGATGTTAAGATCAAGTTCTTCAATACCAAAGTAGAAATTCACAAACAAAATGGTGATTACATGAAACCAAAGAACATGAAATAGGTTTCTGAAACATTGACAAAAGAGATGAACTATTCTAAGAAACTTTGCAATTTTCACACTATGAAACCAAAGAACATTAGGTTCACAGAAAATTCAAACAAAAACCCATTTGACAGTTAATTTCTGAAACAGATTAGATCCAGATCAGGAAACCAAACCTTAAGGAATCAATAGTTTCGAAAAACAAAGAAAGAAGAGAGAGTTACGAGAGATCCAGAGACCTTTTTTTTTTTTTTTTTTCTCGTAAGTGTAAACTTTATTCATAACATGCTTGGTTACATTACAGCCCATAAAAGTCCATACAGTTACATAACTTAAGGATGAAGAAAGTTATCATTGTTCTCACACAAATACACGTGTCAACAAGTGGTAACAACAAACACACGTATTGGATGAAAAATCTAAAGCTTTCCCGACAACAACTTCCGCTAAATCATCATCGAAAACTGAAATTCGACTATTGATTCCTTTGTTTCTCACCGATCAAACTTCTTGTATGATGAATCAAAGCTCCGAAATTTGAGATTACGGCTAAAAGGAAATTAAAATACGCGAAGGAAAATTCTTCTTTTCTTCAACTTTAATCGCAACTATCCTTGAAATTTGCTGTAAACCGCATGTCTAAACCGAAACGAGTCGGAGAAGAGCCATCTTTAAACGAAAAATCGCTTAAAACGATAACACCAACACCGAATAACAAAACCGGACTACGCCGGAGAAGAAAAAAGGAAGCCGGCCATCACCGCCATGGAACTCGGTCGATGCCGGACTAAAGCCGGCCATCACCGATATGGAATTCGGTCGATGCCAGACGATAAAACCCGACTAATCGGGCAACAGAAGCCGGAAGAAATCCGGACGGCAAAGAGTTTCATCAGCTTTCTCTTTCTCTGAAAGATTTTAGAGAGAGAAAGCGGGTTCAGAGTAATGGAAATTTAAAATTAGTAATTCAGATCCAGAGACCTACTCTGATTCAGACGAAAGTAATTGATTATATTTGATTATTTTCCCATTCAAATTTATAAATGGGGTTTTTTGGGTAAACTAATGGGCTTTTTTGATCAAGACACATATAGTTTTTTTTCTTTTAAAAAAATAATCAGTCCACATTACATTAGTACATTACATTGTACTTTTTTTTTTTGTTTTGCTAAAGATGTAAAAATCATTAAAAATAAAATTTGAGACATTACAAAAGGGCAAACTTAAACAAGAGCATGGCAAAAAAAGATAAAAACATGAGTACAATAACAATTAGGAAAGAGATGATGGTAAATGCTAACGAATCCAAAGCAGCATCAACGCACGCCAACGCCGCCTATGTCTTCTCGAAGAGATGATGTTGCGCAGATCACGATCCACCAGCTTGAAAACAACAGAAGGAGCAAGCCGCTGAGCGTTGTGTAGGACATTAATTCGCTGCCGCCACATGTTATAAACCACTGCTTGAGCTACCACTTTTCAAAGGAGAGAAGGAGCAGAGGAAGAAGATCGTCGGGACCAAGAGAGAAGCTCTGTCCAAGAAGAAAACAGTCTCTGCCGCGAACATAACCTGTTGAAAACCAAGCGCCAAACCTGGGAAGAAAACTCGCAAAAGAGGAGGAGATGGTCCCGTGATTCTGAAGCAAAAGAACAAAGGAGACACTCATCTGTGTGAATATGGCCCCAAGAAACCAACCTCACCCGGGTGGGCAAGCGATTCAAGTAGACATATCCACATGTTAAACGCATGTTTGGGGACTGCATCTTTGAACCAAACCGAAGTAGTCCACTGTTGCTCAGTGCTTCTTGGTCTAAGAGCTTCCCAAATCTTGGCTGCAGAATAACCTTGACAAACAACCCCATTAACACACCACAAATACGCATCCTCAGCCAAGATAGGGCTCGGGCCTTGTAAGGTACAAAGATAATCCTAAATGGCCAAAGCCGGTTCTGATCTTGATAATGGGAGTCGCCAACCATTCTCATTATAAGCATCAGCTACTCTTGCGGTTAAAGGAATTCTTAGAGGCCTAGAACCAAAGTCCCCCATGCACTTGATCAGCGGATCCAGAGTAGTCCAACTGTCAAACCAAAATGAAGCACTAACACCATTTCTCACTCTGGTTTTGACAAACTGCTCAGCGATAGGCCTCAAGTACAAAAGTATCTTCCAGGTCCATGGATCACTGGGGGTGGCAACTGCGTTCCAGAAAGAGATGTTCCTGAGATGATGGTGGCGATGCCAGTCAGCCCAGAGGGAAGCTTTACGGTCAAAAAGCAACCAGATAAGTCTCAGGTTTAGATTCTTATTCCACTATGCAAGTCTTCTTAAACCAAGCCCTCCTTCGCTTTTGGGAAGGCATAACGCAGCCCACGAGACCTTTGCTCCCTTTTCCTCATCAATGTTTCCGGACCAAAGAAACTTAGAGCATAATCCTTCAATCTTCTTTCTGCATCCCTTTGGAAGAATGAAAGTAGACATCCAGAAATTTATTGAGCCGAAGATGACAGAGGAGATAAGCTGAACTCTACCCGCGAAAGATAAACACTTGGTTACCCATGATCTAAATCTCGCTGAAATTTTCTCCAAAGAGAGGCTCATATTCAGCGATACGCAACTTCCTACTCATTAGAGATAGGCCCAAATACCGAATTGGTAGGGCGCCTAAAGGAAAACCAAAAGCAGTAGTTACGTTACTCTCATCCAAGTCCAGACCCGCATGGAATAACTGGCTCTTGTCTTTATTAACCTACAAACCTGACCAAAAGGAAAAATCATCAAGCATTTCACAAATACCGTGCAATGAAGAGCTACCCCCGTCGAAGAAGATCATTACATCGTCCGCAAACATTAAATGAGAAATAGAAAGATCTAACGCTTTCGGGTGATAGTGAATATAGCCAGCAACATATCTAGAGTGAAGGAGCTTAGAAAACACCTCCATAGCAAGCACGAAAAGATAAGGTGAAAGAGGATCACCTTGTCTTAAGCCTTTAGTACTTTTGAAAAACCCTCCATTACACCCATTTACCGAGACGGTGAAAGTTGGCGTTGAGATACATTGGTGAATCCAATTGATGAAGCGTTCATGAATTGCTAGAGCCCTCAAAGCTGCAATAACAAAGTCCCATTTCACCGAATCGAATGCTTTTCTTAAGTCGACCTTGAGCATTCCTCTTGGGGAAACATTTCTCCTATTGTAACCATGAACCATTTCAGTGGCTAATAAGACGTTTTCGGCCAGAGACCTGCCAGGGAGGAACGCAGACTGCGAGGAGGCAATAACATCTGAGAGCAAGACCTGTAATCTGATGGTGAGAAGCTTAGAAATGATTTTGTAAAGCGTATTCAAACAAGAGATGGGCCTTAAGTCAGAAGTGCGTGAAGCATTAACTGTCTTAGGGATAAGCACAAGAGTAGTAGCGTTCCACTGCTTCAACAATCTGCCTGAAACAAAAAACTCTCTAATTGCCGCTATAACATCAGAGCCAATTACACTCCACGAACCACTGAAAAATACAGCCGGAAACTTGTCAAGCCCACTCGTTTTGTTTCTTGGGAGAGGGAGTTGAAAGCAGCCTTGATATCTTCATCTGACATGATATCGTCATCAAGATTCTTTGTAAATTATGAACCAATAATATCCCCTAAGACAATCTGGATTTCTGCAGGAAGAAACTCTCTTCAGCAAAAGAGAGAATATGCCATTTGCGTTGAGCTTCCAATTCATGAGCAACATTGAAACAAGAAGGATTACCTAGGGTGAGATCCTGACACCTCAACAGAAGTTCATGAGCCTCCTTGGTACGATTTTCCAGATCTGAATAGTTAATAAGCTTGCTAAAATCTTTTAACGGTTTCTTCAAAGCCTTAAGCTTCTTTGAGACCTGGAACATAGCTAAACCCACAACATTAACTGTGTAACAATTTTCCTTAACCAGATCCAAGAACTCCTGATTTTAGAGAAGGATATTGTAAAACTTAAAATATCTCTTCACTCTGGTAACAGGTTCGTCAAGAACAACCCCACAAGACGCGTGGTCAGAGAAATCCGGATGACCAAAAACACCATAAGAAGAAGGGAAAAGATAACACCAATTTTCATTTGTTAAAATGCGATCTATCTTTTTGGCAACCGGCCTGGTTTTACTCTTGTTCCACCAAGTGAAAGTATTACCCTTGTATACTAAATCTGAAAGCTCAGCATCAAGAAAACAACTTCTAAAATCCCGCATTCTCCTATCCACATTCAAGGAAGGAGGCTGAGAATGCTCTTAAGGAAACAAAACATGATTAAAGTCTCCTAGCATTAGCCATGGCCTATTCGATAAGTTCTAAGAAACTCCCAAATCCACAATCTCTTTCCACAACTCCTTTCTTTTATCCTCCTCATTTACCGCGTAGACCACTGAGATAACCACCCAAGTAGGCAGACCCGATAACAAAACTTCACAAGTGAGCATCTGCAGGGATTTGGCAAGAATAACGACCTGAACACTTGGATCCCACACTACCCAAATCTTACCAAGCTCCGAAAAGGCGTAATGTTCTTCAAAAGACCAACCGGAATGAAGAGCACTAATAAACTACTGCTCCTTCGGTTGTTTAACATGTGTCTCGATGATGCCTCCAAAAATAGGCTTATAAGACCTATACAATTTTTTAAAACCGGTACGATGGCTGTAACACCCCTACCCCATTCAAGGCCAAGGACGAAAAAGGAGCGTCACGGTAGACGCCCGCAGTCAGCCAACCTAGGTTCCCGAAACGAATTCGTTCGCCCAAGTCGTCCAACCGTAGGTGTCGTTCCTCATGATCACGACACTAAGGCTTTGCAACCCGTACCGCGAATGCGAGTTGTGTTAGTCCGAACAAGACTAATAATATCATGGGAGACACGGGTTTAATAAAATCAGAGCTTTATTAATAAAATCGAGTCGTACATACTATACATAAAAACTATATCTTACAAAAGCAAAGAAAACTACACCGGTTGGCCTAACGTCCTTCGCTCCCCTAAAGGTCTCTCCACTAATGGTTGCTTGTAAAAAAAAAGTAGCATCTTGAGTAATCTAAGATTACTCAATAAGTCCGAGATCTCTAAAAATAATAACACAATCCAACCCCAAACAGCAAGCAAACATGCAAACATTATGCAATGCAACAAGCAACTATATGCAGCGGAACTATTTTTAATAATAAGCATGCTTCTAACAACTTAAGTAAGGCCTTCTACGAATCCATGATCTCCCAAGGCAATGCTCCGCACTCCTAGACACAAAGTCTATAAGAGACATAGCACTCCTTTATACTACATCGTCATGTAGCGTCCAGTCGGTAGCGAACCAGTCCCGAGCCTTCGTATGCCATAACGCAACGGAGTTACACGCGACGCACATCATATGGGTGGGATAACATGATCCGGCTTGTGCTAGTTATCTAACTAACAAACAAAGTATAACAGTCGAACATCATAACGTTAATACCAACAACCAGCCGACATAACGGTTATACGACCACGACTTTATACTATCAAGCAAATATAAACCAAGGGGTTTTAACCTCACATGGCTTATATACAACCACAATAAATCAAGCAACACAAGCAAGATTTAATAATAACCCGATCATACGACTTAACGTATAACCGAGGATCCAATTAACTACACTAAGCATAATTAACAAAATAATTAATCTATATATACATTTTTGGATGACTTTTAGCAAATAAATTCTGGAGTTGGAATGTATTTACAAAGAATGCCATTGGTTGGGTGGGTTTTTTTTTTAAAACGAGTGACCCGGTTTCAATTTCGGATATTTCCGAAATTTCCTCTTACAACATTAAATCAAAATCGACATTAATTAGTTTGTAAATCTCGATTATTAGTTGTGAATCCCAACTGAACTCCCTCAAAAATATTCCTAATAGCGAACGTGATCTTGAAAATATTGGGCATAGAAACTAATA